ATTCTGTATATAGTTTGTAGTAAAATTCTTTTATTGTTCGTATTAGTTTAATTAGTCTTCTGATTTAATTTATCGTAGCTCTAAATCCAAATAAATACCGAAACTGTGTTTAAAATGGGCACGAGAGTGGGCATTATTATTAAATACATACCTACATATAGTTTACGTTATGTCGATATTTAAATAAATACAGTCAAAAAATTAATTTAATTATACTTACATAACGTTGAAAAGATCCATTGTACCTATAGTAGGGCAGTTGCAATAAGAATTGTTCTGCTATATTCCATATGATCGAGACTAACACATTATTTAAATATATATAAAGCAAACAAATACCCAACACTTTTTTATTAATAGCACAATACAACTATCGACACAGGCTTGTTAAATTAACGCAGACGTAAAACGATTTTAAACTATAAATTATAACAAAATTACCAAGATTTCTTTAAAAAACACCTGTTCACGTACTTGGAATATTCACGAACTGATTTTAAAAACCTCCCCTCGATTGGCATGGTGCAACAGTAGGGGAATTAGTTTTAAGGGAGAATGACTTAAGATTTCGGCCAATGAAAGCTCGCCGTTTGAATAACGAACCAATTGAGAAGAAAACAAACGAGTTAATTTGAATTTAGACGGTTTACTTTGCGGTGCTGGGATTTTGACAGTGTCTACTGTGACTAAGGACGTAATATTAATGAAGAAAGTTTAGGATAAGTGTTATTTTATTGCGTTTTGATTTGTCCCATATGTTTGGGTGGCCATTTTTTAATTGGAATGTAGTGCTAGCTCTAAATCGTTTTTTAAATAAGCCAGATTTACATTTTTTCATAAAACAAAAATCGTGAAAACCATTTATATATTATAAAGTCAGAGTGATTTTACAGTAAATACGAAAAATAGACAATTTTAAAAAACTACTCTATATGGAGCTTTGTAGGATCGATTTTTGCGTCATCATCTACGCAAGACATTGATAGTTTTCGAACTTTTGATAGTAGGCTGTCGTTATGTATTTACATTAATAACTACCTATTCTAATGTATGATATTTATCAATATTAATAACCCAAGAAAACTGATATTCGAAACAATTTTATATAATAGTTCTCGAAAGCACGTTACTTGGCTTCAAGTATATACAGGGTGTTAGGGATTTGACTACGAATACATTATATTAAAAGAACATATGAACCAAAAATGTATACAATATAGCTACTTTTTATTTCTCTATATAGGTAGGTACTAATTCCGTTTCCTATTATTTACTATACTCGGACAAAATATTGAAGAAGGTGATTCCTCCCTGTTCACGTACAACAATAATACTATACCAGAGCATAATGAATGGAATCACGCGCTTAAAACTGCAGAAGTTATCGGTATTACGTGCCAACTAGTCATAAATGCATGTTTATTGCCAAAATGAATTACGCCAGTGGCGTATAAAAACTATTGGCAAATTAAATGCGGTAATAGTAAATAATATTATATGAAAGTAGGTTGGTTATCTATTTTGGTAGTAATAATCATTTGTTTATAATTTTGTTTTGTTTATTGTTAAAATATGTAAATATTATGCCAGTGGCGTAGAAACACTATTGGAAAATTAAATGGGGTATTATACTAGAACAAAATATTGAAGAAGGTGCGCCTTAAAACTGCAAAAGGTATCGTTATCATATCAAAATGCACTCTTCCAGTGTCGCAGAAATACTATATTGGCAAATTAAATGGATATTTGTGAATATTACTAGATGAATGTAGGTTGGTTATCTATTTTTGTTATAATAATTCATCTATGTTTATAATTGTATTTTATTTATTATAAAAATATGTAAATTAAGCTTGGTATCACTTACTTGAATTCTAAATCTATGAAGTTTCGTAATCCATTGATTCTGCAGAACTATCACTGGAATCGTCTTTATCGTCGGAACTTAAAGTTATGACTAAAGGTTCAACTACCGTTTCGATCATACCGTCCAAGCGCCACATATTATTTTCTTCCTTAATTACATAGGAAATAACATTCTGCCAATATTCAGGTTTTATATGTTCTATACCGGTTTTTAATAAACTTTGAACGTCGGCTATTTTAAAAGTTTTATTTTCTCGACCTACAAACCCTTTCACTTGCGTCCAAATTAGTACAATAGAATTGAATTCGCAGTGATAAGGGGGAAGTCTTAGTACCGTTATACCACGATCACGAGCCATTGTGTCGACAACATATTGAATATATTTATGGCGGTGTTCCTTTATTAGGTCCATTAATTCCACTTTAAGCATATCCTCAGTAAATGTTATTGCTTTATCCCGCAGCCAGGTTTACATATCCGCTTTCCTACTGGACATTATCGGAATGCGTTCAACTTGTCGACTGTGATAAGAAGTGTTATCTAGTACAATAACTGAATTTCGTTCTACACGCTGTAATACTTCAGTAAACCATTTTTCAAAGCATTCCGCATTCATGTCCTCGTTGTAGTCTCCTGTTTTTTCAATATAAACACAAGAGCGCTATTTTCCAAAAATTGACTGTCACTTCCGATATGGGTAACAATTAGGTGCTATCCTTTACCTGATGGTGCTTTTAAACCTGTAGATAATCTCTCTATAAAAGTTTGTCGATGACTAGTTACAGAAGTATCTTGCCATATCTTAGATAACGTGTGTCCAGCATTCACCTACGTTTCATCGAGATAGTATATCTTTTTTTAGCGGCTCTAAACTCTTTAATATTTCGTAAATAACGCGGTCGCCAGGACACTATATCTGACCTCTCAATTAAAATTGATTTCCTACACAGTTTGAGAAAACGAAATTTTAGGCCCCATAAAATTTTTCGTAAAGTTTCACGGCTCATTAATGGAATTTCTTCTTAATTTCGTAAGAACAACTTTATGTGTTGGAGCTTTGTTTTCGAAAAAAAAGAATGTACAGTTCTTCGAATGATTTGTTTTTGGTTATCGTCCAATTTCAACAATTCTCGACCACGGGTATGCGTTTTAAGGGCTTCTAAGAAGCCTTTTTTGTCTTTTCGCATACAATACGTTCAATTGTTGAAACAGATACTTCAGTTAAAAAAGAACTGTGGTTTACAGCTTCATTTGTAGGAAGTGTCTGTTTCAGCCCATCATACACTTTCCATATAATGTTCTTTTCATCCTTTGATAAGGGCTTTCGCCGACGTAATTGGGTTTCACTTAGACCTGCCTCTGAATCCATTACTATTGCAACAATATAATTCTACTAAATTATTTTTATTAAATTTACAAAGACACCAATATTTTACTATTTAATAAACTTTTAAAGTACACACCTAATATACTACGCAATAAATATAACTACTCGAATATGCACTACCACTACCAAATTGTAAGGCCCAAACATGAACACATACTCGTATATCAGAAAAGAGCACTTATACAAAAAAGTGTTTATAAAATATAAAATAATTATCGTAAATAGTTAAAGCGATACAAATCTAACTTCGTCGAAAGTTAGTTTTCAACTGTCTTTGTGCCTGTGCTGACAATATTCAATATGTAACCCGTCTGTCGTTTATTTACTTGAAACACATTTTAAAACCTTTAAACACAGATAACGAAGTCATTAGGGAATAAATATATTCATTTCTTGAAAACTATCAAAAACGTATATTTAACGCATCATCTTTGTTTAAATAAAGATGTTGATAAACAAATTTAATAAAGTTTACTAACAATTACCTAATAAATAATAAATAACTATTTGGTACCTATTTGATACGCCGCCTATGCTAACTCTGTCGGAATTTTCATTCATAGACAACAGTGTTGATCATGCATATGACTCACCTTCTCCAAAATTTTGTCCGAGTATAGATTAGAATATCTAGGTATGTCTGAATATCCTAAATTTGTTTAAAAGGTAGGTATTTATTTAACTTTTTTGTGTTAATAATTATAATAAATTTTTTATACAGTACCTACTTAACTTTTTTTCGACTTCAAAACAAAATGTTCTCAATATGTTAAAAATATTTGTTATGTAATTACTGTTTTTTTTCTTTTTTCAATTACAATATTAATAGTAAATGATCCTTTCATGATGTACACAATTGACACAGTTGGTTTCTTTGAAACGCACAAAGGATTCAATCGCGTCCATGTGTACACGTAGTCCGCTTTTAAATGCCAGATGACCGAGGGTCCCCCTGAGACGTGATTAAGTTACCAAAAGGTGCGTTTTTCTTCCCAAAATGTGTTCTTAGTTTTGTAATCGTCTGGCATATGATAGAGCACCACAAAAGCGGTAGTTAAGTATAAGTAGCTGGGCGATTTAATTTCATTTTCAATTCCGAACCATATACCGTGAAATTTTGGCCAGTGTGTTACTGGACTTTTGTTAGAGAACAGTTGTTAGACGGTCAGAAAGCTTTTTTGGGGGCTTTGGAGCATGAAGTGTCACAAGAAATTCATTTTCCGCAAGTAATATTGGATTATTGACCAAACTTATAAATAACTGTCGTTTGAAGCACACCACTGGTTGGATCCAGAATTAAAAAACGTTTTGGTGAAATGAATGACTTTAGCGGTGAATTTAATAAGACGCTCAATATTCAAACAAGTATGAATGTCATAATAATAAGTAAAATTTATTATCTACTTATTTCCTAACATATCTGCGCCTCTGGATTGTGACGTATTATCTGCAGTCCATGCCTTTTCACAAAAATTAAAGCCTCGTTCTCATTAATTAAATTGATTTAAAGTAAAAATATTTTGACGTTGACAGCTGGATTTCTGGTAATCGCTTGTATTTGGATTGTGGATTGATTTTACTGTGGATTTTACTTTCCAGAATTAATTTCCCTGTTAAATATGTTATCTAAACTGACTGTGGTTCACCGTAATTTCTAAAAGACACAAACAATGCACACGTCACAGACGACAAAGATAAAATATGAAGAGACCAGCTTAATTATGAATTAGTCTCATGGAGATACTACTAACTCGATGATTAATGATTATTTCCAACTAAACGCAAACTGTCAAATGTAGCTAAACTGTCAACACGAAAAATTCCAATTTAAGTCCTGCTTTTTGACATTTATCTTGAGAGAAATATCTTCAAATATAAAAAGAAAATGGATACAACAACTGACGTTGCTGATAATGTTCAAGTGAAGGTGGAATCTTCGACCGATGCCGATGATAATAATTCGCTTAAAGAAAACCAACGTAATAATTCGAATATCAACCAAAACCGGCGTGGCCGAGGGAATTTTAGAGGGGGTCGAAGGCAACCGTTTGGGCAGGGAGAAAATTCTAAAAATGCAAGGTAAGCTTCTATACAAAATTGTGAAAGAAATATCCGCTCACTCTTACATTATTTAGAGCCAGAGGCAAAAAATCCTTCGACAATCAGAGCCAGGAAGATAGAGCTTCGATGGATGGGCGCATGCCTAGAAACCAACCTCGGTTACCAGATGAAAAATTTAACGAAAGAGCTGCCCAACTATCTGGCAGCACGTACGATTTGCCTCCAATAGATACGTCCGAGAGAAAATTCAACGGAAGAAATAGATTATACATTGGAAATATAGGTTTGTGTACAGGGTGAGGCATTTAAAAGTTCCATCAACTCCATCGAGATAAAATACTTTTGCATTACACATTACACTTTTACGTCATATGTCAAACTGGGCCTAGTGAAGCTAGTCAGTTTTGGTGAGAATAAATCCATTTTTAAATAGCTTAATTTAAATGATATAAAATCATTTTTAATCCGTCCGTCTTCAAATATAGAATTATTGACTTCAAATAAATCAGAGTTCAACTCAAGTTTCCATTTTCATTAATTTTTTCCGTCACTGAAAGTACTTCCATCTGTCATATCGCAAAATAGTGTTCATGTCGTCTCTACTCTATTCTATCTCGATGACCAACTCGTATCCTCATTATTAATTGAGATAAATAATAAAATTCGAAGTCTGTGTCACAGAAACGTCAAGAGACCTTTTCCCTACTGAAAATAACTATTCGTTTAGTTAAAAAAAAATAGTAGCAAAATAAGTGTAGATGGCGTTACTGTATGATCTCTGATCTTAACCCAACCACCGGCTTCGACCAGCTAGGAAGTAAAACAGTAGATAGACAAAGCTACTACGGGGACACATAGGGAATTCAATGTGTAAGAGTGAGAGATACAGATTCAGTAGGTAAGAGTGACACAAAGTGAGGGGAGTGTGGGAGGGTGGGAGGGTGGGAGTGTGGGAGTGGGGGAGAGTGGGAGAGTAGGAGAGTGGGAGAGTGGGGGGTGGGGGAAAATTTTTACTCTTCTTGTAAAACAAAAATAAATGTTTGAAATAGATAAGGTGTCTTTAATTAAAAAACAACATTTTCATTACATATTATATTTATTAAAAACAAAAAATTACAACGGTAATATAGTATTAAGAAACCAGTGACGTAGACATTCGATGTTCTTCTGGGTACATCTAAATGATCCATTGGCGTGGTACATGCAGGTTTTGAAGCCACTAATGAATTTTTCTGTTGCACACGGTGTTCCATCGAACTTGCATACATCTACTAACGTATGTCCCTAAAGTTTTCGGAAAAAATCTATTTTTATTTATTTATCGCAGACAGCCTAGGATCAAGTTGCCATTTGAAACAAAGTCGAAAAGTATATGATAATGGATGGGAAGCCCAAAATGAGGAGCAGTTTAGACGAAGAATACTGCAAAAAATTCGTAAGATCGATTTAGCAACGGTCCAAAGGCTTATGGCTCATGTAAGGCCAAAACTACGTGTCATCGAAGAACATGGACTCATGTATGTTCTATAAAAATATCAAATAACGTTTCGAGTTCTAGAAATACTTTCCCATTGTTAATTTTTAAATAAATTTATTTCCCAAACAAAAAAATAAATGTAAGGTAGCACCAGTCTTTATGGCCCACATTTTTCGTTTAGAATCTATTTTTATTAATAGTAATTCATTCAATTCCCAGTTTCTGAACGGAATCAATACAGGTTGATCATTTTTGAAGGGTTCCTTTAGCCTAATTTTAATTTCATCATTTTAGGAAAGATGTGTTTAATTTTTACTTCCATACTTTCAATTATCAATTTAACGGTTGTAGAGGTCACACCACCTCCGGCTATAGGCTGCTCCATCACAATGACGCAATCATTATCGTTACGTGATCGAACTGAACGAACTGTTTGTCTTCCATAGGTAATCATAGTATAATCATTGAAAACGTTGAAAATGTGTTTAAGAGACATAAGCAAATTGAAATGTTTTGAACCGTTAAGAAGCAGTTAATCGGGATAATTCCATCCCGCAATACTCATGAAACGACTGTCTTCCGGTCCATAGCATGTTAAGGCTCGTACGGTGCTTACGATTCCTGGAACTCTGACAACTTCTATTTCTCGAGAACATTCGCTGTAGGAACAGCTATTGAAGAGGAATGCTCCAAAGTTGGTTGCTAGCTGAATTTGTCCTGCACCTGTAACTTCCAATTTTCCTTTAATTTCCAACAGAGCATCATGCATCACAAAAAATGCATCGGATTGATTTATGATAAATTCAATAACGTCGCTGTTATTAAACGATTTAACGTATGGGGTGTAGGTTCGATATTCTTCTTTTCTAAGAGTGTCATCAAATCGGGGTTTTTTATAAAGGTTAAACTTTCATATCTACATTTATGACAAATATAAGAGAGGTGGAACTTTTAAATGATCGACCCTGAATATACAGCAAAATCGTGCTTTTGCCAAACGCGCAATTCCCATTTTTTTCAGGCGCAGAAATCACGGAAAAAGATCTCGAAGATCTGTTCGCGAAATACGGCGAATGCGCGGAGACGTTCATCAACAAAGAAAAAAATTTCGGTTTTATCAAACTCGATTACCATTGCAACGCCGAAAAGGCGAAAAAAGAACTGGACGGCACTGTTTTAAAGTCGAGAAATTTGAAAATACGCTTCGCTCCCAATAGCGCCTCTATTAAAATTAAAAATCTGACGCAGTTTGTGTCGAATGAGCTTTTGTTGTACGCTTTTTCTATTTTCGGAGAGGTTAGTATATTGACTCCAATTAATCAAATAAAATTATCAAAATATATTTATTTTTTCAATCGATTAGATTGAAAGAGCCATAGTATGCGTAGACGAACGCGGCAGACCGACTGGTGAAGGGGTAATCGATTTTTCCAGAAGAGGATCAGCGCTGGCTGCGATAAGAAAGTGCGCAGACAGCTGTTTCTTTCTCACTACGTCTCTGCGTCCATGCATCGTAGAACTTTACGAAGCTGCCGACAACGCCGATGGTTATTGCGAAAAAAGTATTAACAGAAAAAGCTTAGAGTACCAAAACGAAAGGTACGTAGAACCACTTGGACTCTAATAAATAATGTCTTTAGTCGGACCGAAGACTAAACACTATACATCATTTTAGTCCGACTGAAGACTGAACGTTGAATGTGATATGTTTTGGTCGGACTGAAGATTAAACACTTTACGTCACATAAACAATTGTAATTTGTTAAATTTTATTTTAAGGGAGCGGGGGCCGAGATTCGCCGGCAGAGGCAGTTTCGAGGAAGATTACGGCACGCGCTGGAAGAAATTGTTCGATATGCATTGCCAAAAAGAAGAGGCCCTAAAGAAGGAATTGCATTTGGAGATTGAAAAGTTGTCGGCACAAATGGAGTACGCCAGATACGAACACGAAACGGAACTATTGAGAAATCGATTGAAGGAACGCGAATTGGCTAAAGAGAAGCAGAAGAGAGAATGGGAAATGAGAGAGAGATTGGTCGAACAAGAACGTATACGTACGGAAGAAATGATGCGAAAGTCTCAAGAAGAAATGGATACTTGGGCTAGAAGACAGCAGGAAGAATCTAGCAGAAGGCAAGATGAAAATGAACTGTTTTTGCAGGTATGATTTATTTTTATATAATACCCTTCCAAAACAATTACAACGTCTTTATGTAGGCTCAAAGTTTGGATTCTCTGTTGGATTATCAGGAAACCGGATACGGTACTCCTAACCAAGGCTTCCAAAACGAACAACCCGTCAGAGATTCGACTTTGTTCCTCAGTTCTTATGAACGACCGACCGTATCGAGATATCCAGCGGAAAATGGCGGCGTGTGGGTCACCGACACTCGACAGAAAAGAAGAAAACATTGACGTTCTCAATTATCTTTATCGAATAAGTTATTTATCTACTTTAACGTTGTTTGGTCTGTTGCATCACCTAGTTGACAAATTGATAGATGACGGATGACGTTTGAAGTGACGGTTTGTCAACCGATTGGTGTTCGTTTGATAAATGTTTTTACTTTATTTTATTGCTGAATTTTGTTAAATATCGAGAATAAATATCGTTAGGAACTAGTTGATGGTTTTTATTTCAAGGTTAATGTTTTTTATAATAACAAACTGTTCGCTATATTGTTTGTTAAGCTTTTTTTTGTCGGTTATATCATATCCATTAAATAGTGCAGATCAGTGGTTTTTACCTCGAAATAAATAATAAACAGATTACTAATTACTCATGGAACATGTGATCGTGCTATATAGAAACCAGATTTCTCTGTCATGCGTATGTAAAATTAATCCGTTCAAAAACCCAGAAGCGCAAAATAATTCCCGTGATGGCGTTTTTGGGGCAGAAATATTTTATTCAAATATGGAAACTGCCGTGAATATCAATTTAATCCTCGAACAATAGCCGGTATATGTATATGAAACGAACGGCTGGTAGAGATAGTGAATATTTCAATTTTAATTTTTCAATAAATATCTACGAGTGTTTTCGTTCAGTTGTTGATTGACACAAATTCATAATGAATTGTTAATAATTTTGTACAGTTGAATATGAAAACAGTTTCGCTGAAATTATTCCCATTTGATTAATATTTTGGAAATGTTTTGGTATTACGTTTATGCTGAGAAAATTATTTTTTTTACTTAGACCAGTGACGTCCACGTACACATGATATTGAATGTTTGGATAGAAGAAAACTTCAACACCCTGTAACTCAAAAATTAATTATGTTGATAATAACTTTTCTTCTTAAAATCACACCCTTAAAAATTGGCACTCAATTAATTAATACCCTGTATAATAAGGGTTATAAACTTTGCAATGCAAAACAGGAGAAAATTCTTAATAAGATTTAGGAATTTTGAAATGGTATCTGCGAAGGGTGAGAAGTTGTAAACAGTAAACATAGTTGTAAATAAATTTTATTTAATATGCGTTTTAATTATAAACAACTTCAAAGTGATTACAAACCAAATCATTTTAATAACTAAGGTCTTCAACTTTGGAATAATTCGACCCATTTTCATTGTTTAATACCTACGTTATTAAAATTTATTGTTTGTTTCTTTACATTTTTTTAATATTAACATTATTAACAACTTTAAATCATCTGCAAACAAGAGTTTCGAAAAAGAAATTAAATCTGTAATATCGCTGATTAAGAATAAAAACAGTAGGGGTACTAAATTAAACCCTAGAGGCACCCCTGTCGTTTGGATGACAAGCCATTATAAGTTAATTGTTTTCTTAATGGCAAATAGGAAAGAAAGAACTTTTGCATTGATTTTTTTGAAAAAACCGAGATGATTTAATTTGTTTACATTTATTATATGGACAATCTAAGCGAAATCATTTTCAAAATCAGTTAAGATAACATCAACGCCCACAGTGATCGCGTATTTCATATAAAAATTGTTAGAAACAAGATAAATGTCTCACAGTAGATCTCTATTTGCCATGAAACCATGCTGATCATATACATTTTATTATGAATACAAATTATTAGAAAAACTTTTGTGAAATTATTTATTAGAGCCGAATTTTCTGACTTAAAAATTGGATAGACAAGAGTTATTTTCTATTTGTTAAGAAAAAAAGTTTTTATAGATAAATTTAATAAGTACTTAATAGGTAAATACTTAAAAGATAAATACTTAAGAGGTAAGAGGTAAATATTTGAGTGGTAAAGACTTAAGAGAACAATGCTTAAGAGGGATGTAGGTACATCTATGAGTTGAACAAAACTATATTTTAGTCTTTTTTTTCAAAAATTGGATATAGCGTCATTACCTCCTGCAGTTTTAGCATTCAATTTATTGATAGCATTAGTTGATTTCTATATTTTAATTTAGGGAGGAAGTTAAAACTATCGCATAAGCTACAATCAAAGAGAAAAGTATAAACAATGCTAAAATAATTGGACTGCCATATATACAGAGTGGCCCATTGGAAAGCGGGACCACCCTACATAAATTTTTTATTTATAGAGTGATTTTGACGATTTTTTTTTTAGAGCCAAGCGGCGTCTGTTTTTTTTTTAAACCAAGGCCTACTAGATCACACTCAGAAGCTGAAAAATCCAGAATCCGTATTAATGATAACTACATAAATAAGCGAAATTTCGAGCATACCTAAATACGAAAAAAAAATCAAAATTCTTAAATTATCTTCAGTTTTCAGACGTCAAACTTGAAATTCAAAAATATTATGATTATTTTCTCTTTTGCTATGGTCAAGATTTTTTTTACCCTATCTCCAATTTAAATTAATCCCTGTCGTGAACACGATGTTTTTAAATTTCGTTCCCTAATTAGAAAAATGGTTCTATGCACACTTTCGAAGCATGTGTCAGTATTTGGTCGAACATCTGCGTTTTGACTATTCTCCGTAAAATAGGCAGTAGATACCAGCGCACCTGGCACGGGTGTCTATTCAAATCAAGATTAGAATTGTAAAATAGTTTCATGCAGGTATATATCTATATATACCTAGTTGGTATAGTTTAACTCTTTTACCTGCTGATTTGTATCTTTTTTGGGGGCTTTGTGGTTTAAGAATGTGGAATTTTGTGTATATTAAGTATGAGGGTTGGAAGATCCCATTATTCTGCACATAACTATGTTTTCATTGCAGGTAAATTAATCTTGGTAAACTTTTGTTGATTATGCAGAAATAACTAAAATGAAGTTGTTATACAAGGACGTAAAACTGCTATAATACAATATTTTTTATTCAAATATTAAAAACCGGGATAAAATTGTTCCTAATCATGATTTTATTATGATTTGAAACACTTGATCTCGACGTTCTTTACAGATACTTAATTTACTTATTCCTCATTTACGGCCAATTTCATAATCAATATAAAGGACACTTTAATTTTAAAGTATCTTTTAACCATATAGTTAAAATAGCTTAAAGTCTCCTTACATTAAAGGCCACTTTAGCTATCGATTATGAAATTGGCCGTTACTAATTTCTAATGAATGTGGCGATATGATGATGGATGGGAATGTGACTTTACAATTTCTCTAGGTGTTGTCTATCTGCAATACGTAAAATGATAAAAAATTGATTAAATTTAAATATGTTATGTGGAATACAATAAAAATATTATTTAAAAAAAATCGCTCATACATTTTCTATAAAGTGGAGGCTTGGGACTACTATTTCAAATAAAAATAGCGTCCAATATGGAAGGCTATGTCGCAACCCCCTTAGATTTACGAGCCCGAGGGTTACTATAGTCTATTTTTATGTATGAGAGAGTATTAAAATAATAAAGCGTTCGTAATCCATAGGCATGCCACTTCTTTTAGTAGACAGTTAAAATATTTTTTGAAGTTATTCCTCGAGTATACACTTATATTTTCACCTAATTAACCTGCTTATAACTTCTAAACAGCTGAAGGTAAAAAAGTGCAATTTTTTTTTAAATGTTTTATTTTTCCACAAGGTATGTTAAGATTGTTAAGAACATTGTGTCAAACGGGTTATATAGGTATAAGGGTTTAAACTTTGACTTTTAAACAACGTTACGTTCATAAATAATAATTTTAATATAAAAACTACTTCGTACCTACAAATCCAAATCAGAATCGAAATCAGAAGATGAACTATAATTTGTTTGTTCGAACCACTCTTTAAAGACATCAGCATTCATGTCCTCATGCTAGTCACCGGTACGAGTAGATTCAAAAGTCAATAAACCACCTTTAACAAAACCGTTTGAACTACCGATGTGTACTATTATTAGTCTGCGCCCCTTTCCTGATGGTGGATTTAAACCAGTAGATAAATTATTTAAAAAAGCCTGTCTTCGACTTGTAACAGTTTCATCTTGCCAAAATTTATTTGGTTTATGTCCCTCGTTGATCCATGTTTCATCTAAATAAAATATATTTCTTCTTTGGTTTCTTCATTTCTTTTATAGTCCTTAGGTAATTTCTTTTCCATACTACAATATCGATTCTTTCTATTAAAATAGACTTTCTGGAATGCTTTTTCCATAGAAAACCTATTTCTTTTAAAAGTTTCCATAGTGTGCTTCGACTCATTTCAGGGTAATCCTTATCATCTCGAACCGTGGCAAGAACTTTGTCTACTGTCGGAAATTCTTTTCTAAAGAAGAACGCATGCACTTTCCTTCGAAGTCTTTCTTTCAAAAGATGTTCTAATTGAAATTTTGGTTCCTGGAGCTTTACGTGCTGTTTGAAACTCGCCACATTTTTATTCTTTAACAACTCTGTAAATCGTAGATTTCCCAACACCAAGCGTACTACTAACTAATTCCACTGTGTCATCAACACTTTTACATAAAATGTTTGTCTGTAAATGATTTAAAACAATTAAATATTAATATGTTTTCATTAACTTCTAAAGGACCGATTTTTTGTCGTTTACGCGGCCTTTCCAAATTTTCCATGATTACACTAGAATTAACACTGTACCTTGCAAGTTGCAACTAAACGACATTTAGTAAACTGTCAAGAATACACAACTTGGACCTCCTTACTAAATGGAAAACCTATAATCGCATTTTCGGTGAAATTTGTTGGAAAGGTATTTATCTACTTATAATTCGATTACTGTAAGAAATTCTTGGAATTAAAATAAAACAAAATTGGCAAATAGGTAGTACTTATTGAAAATAATCCTAAGATACGGCTATGTAATCTTTAATACACAGGGCTTTTGGCCTGTCCAAACCTTTTTCTATTGTTCTGTACAGCTTATGTTTATAAAGGACCAATAAAAGACCCAAAACTTGTAATAGCTCAGGTACATTTATTACAATTTTAGGAAATATTTAGATTATTCTGTAAAAATATTTAAAATGACCGTACTAAGTTTTGCATTAGAAATGCTGTTTTATTACATCATTTAATACATCAAAGTCTGGAGCAAAATCAACCATGTTTATGTCTATTTCTAGATCTTAGTAAGGCGTTTGATACCGTTGATCACCACTTGCTCATACAATGTCTAGAAGACATAGGAATAAGAGGAAACTGTTTATCTTTATTTAAAAGCTACCTAACGAATAGATACCAGACTGTAAGAGTAAATGGGGAAACTAGTAGTCGACAGATAATTGAGTACGGAGTACCTCAAGGCAGTGTCTTAGGACCCATACTGTTCAATATATACATCAATGGTCTGTTTTCCATCGAGAGCAGAGGTAGTGTTTTAGGTTTTGCAGATGATACTGCAATTTTTTATGATGCTGAAAATTGGAATGAACTTAAAAATATAGTAGTAAAAGATTTCATTAAAATAAAAGGTTGGTTTGATAACTTGTCTCACTTTAAATCTAGAAAAAACTAAATACTTACCATTTAGCTGCAACATTAGAGGTCTGCCTCCATTTAATGAACTTAATGTACAATTTAATGGGCACCCCTATGTGCTTCAGCAGGTATCCGAAATTAAATATCTTGGAATATATGTAGATAGTCATTTGAAATGGGAATTCCATATCAACTATACTATTAAAAAACTTCAAAGCATTCTGTACAAATTTAAATATTTAAAAAAATACCTTCCAGAAAAGCAGCTAATAACACTCTACTATGCTCTCGCAGAAAGTCATTTTAGGTATGGTATTATAGTTTGGGGAAATGCTTTAAGGTGCCATATACAGTCACTTGAAATATTACAAAAAAGATTTTGGAAAGTAATTTTTTCTCGGGAAAGACTGTATCCCAGTGACCTCTTATTTTCAGAAAGTAAAATATTGGATCTAAGGCAGTTGTATTTCTATTGTGTAGCTCAAAAATTTCACTTCAACTGTAAAAACAATAATGTACCTAACCACGATTACAATACACGTAATAAAAATTTACATGTTCTTCCACAATTAAGTCAGAGATCCTTTGCTTATCTAGCACCCAAAATTTATAATCAATTTCCTGAAAGAATAAAAATAATTAGTAATAAAATAAAATATAAAAAAGAAGTTAAAAAACTCATGTATGAAATTCCTAGGAAACAAATTAATGAACTTATAGAATCAAAACTATCAAAAGTACTCACCTTAAATTTGCTATAGTTTTTTTTTTATTGTATTCGACGTATCACCTTATATTTATCCCTTTCTTCATTTTTATTTCTATCTGCTATTTATGTATAATATTTTCTATTTAATTAAGAACTATGTCTTTTGCAGTTAGGATATCGTAGCTTATTACTGTAAGTTCTATTTCTTTTTTTCTTAATTATTTTTCTCGAAACAAGTGAGTAACCACTTATCGAGTACCTTTATTCAATAACAAAGTGTATTTCATTAATGTAATTAATTTTGATTAATTGAATAAATTATTATTATTATTATTATTATTATTTTTTTTTTTTTTTTTTTTTTATTTGGTGTCATCGGCGTCGACTACTACGGCCATTAGCCTCGTGTTCTATGTAGGCTTTGTAACTGTTTCCCAGCGCCACTTTAGGAACAGCACTGTTAATTAGAACCCAACAGTGAATGGTCGAGTGGGGAATCCTACCTATGCATTAGAATTATTATTTAATTTTTTAATTAAATAAAAATTCCTGCCATCGGTGGGATTCGATCCTGAGACCTTCCGATCTCAGAGTCATGACTCTAACCACTGAGCCAACCCACCCCCCTATTATTATTATTATTATTATTATTATTATTATTATTATTATTATTATTATTATTATTATTATTATTACTCTCTCATACATAAAAATAGACTATAGTGAATGTCAACTGAAATGTCACAAAAAAGTCACCAAATATCATTTAAGAATGAGCTACATTCTTCAACGATTTTGCGTGCGAGAATATGACATTCTTACACCAAAATCGACAACTACATTTATTCATTTTTTGAAGTTTTCTCTAAAACCAGCCCTGCTTAGAGGTAATGAAGAATTCATGCTAAATAGTAGGTATGCATAAAAATGCTGAACAGTTTTTATAAAATATTTGTTATTTGTATTCATGTTTCAGTAAATATTTTTTTTGTGAAACCTACATTCCAAATTATTAAAATACAAATAAAAAGTAGGTACCTACCTACCTTTTTTGTAGTAAGCAAAAATTTTGAATGTGTCAATATTGAAAAAATTAATTCAATTAAAAATAGTAGATAGTAATAAAAAAAATTGACGTGTCGTCAGTAACATGAAAATAAAACTTGTAAACAAAAATATATGTCAGGTATTAAACTACCTTCTATTTAGGCAACACTCCTTTCACCGCTGTATTCCCGGTTGCATATTATCAGGAAAACCTTCTTAGATCTTTATGGAATTATATAAAACTCCGTCCGCTAATAATTGAATATTTTTATTAATAATTTAGAATATACATTAAAATTAAATTTACAATGTAGATCAATCCTTTTTATAAACAGTCGGCGCATCTCTATGATCGGGAAGAGGAACCAATCTGTAAGGTTTACAGAAATGTTTGATCTTCTCGAGCTTCTTCTTCTCTTGCCACATAATGTTATTCAGATGGACTCGTTGCTGGTTCCGCTCCTGCTCGACAATTTCCCCTCTGTTGCGTTCAAACGACTCCTCCTGGCATTCTTCCTCTAACGTTTTCTTCGATTCTTTCATCTAAAAATAAGTTTCAACCGTCACAAGTCATTTATCAACGTTCTTAAGCGTCATAAGTCACTTATTAGTGTTTTCAATTGTTACTAGTGACTAATCAGTGTTGTCACCCGTCATAAGTCATTTCTGACATCGTGTTAGGTCAAATGACTTACCATTTCCATGTCGCTGAGACTCTTCACCTGTGGCATCGGCATGAGGAACTTCGTTTTGCAATAATTATCGAAATCGTCGTTCAATTTCTTTCGTAGATCTCTGCGATTGTTCAAAAATATCTTCAATTCAGCGAGGCACCTCAAAACGATCTCTTGTTGTTTCATGGTGGAGCGTTCCGCTCTGCTCATCCTATCTCTGCAGAGGAATTCGGCTTCGTTGAGGATCGTTTCGGTTTGTTCATCGACGTCATCAGATTTTTCTTTGTATTTCAATAGAATTCTTGCCTAAAAGTGACTTTTATTCATTTATATACTGATTATATACTGCAAAATTTGGAAATAACCGATTTGCTTGCCTTAGATCCATAAAGGACACTACAAAAAAAGATATTTTTGAAGAAACTGAAACGGAACTGGGAAAAGCTAACTAAGCTGCAGCGATGATAAGGAAAATGTGAGAATGGTAGGTAAAAATCACAGATAAATAATGACTTTAAATGTTGAATCATTATTATTGAAGCAATTAATGGATGCAAATTATATTAAATCAAGAGGCACAAAGATAAGAGAGTCAAGTAACCACTAGACTCTACTTACTTCTACAAGTTCTTGCTTCATAGCCTCAGCTTCATGCTTATACGCCTGCAATTGCTTGATCTCGTTCAAATACTCCATGTACGTTTCCAAAATGCTTTTCTCGTTCTCTCTGTACTGTTCGACTATCAAATTGTATTGACTGTTTTTGGCGTAATCGTTCCAGGCTTCCAGGTTTTCGGGAATATTCTCCGGTAGGAAGCATTGGTCCAACATTTGTTCGTTGCTGAACGTACTCAACAGGGAGCGTCGTACTCTCAACGAAGGTCTTGGGATAGCAGCGAGTTTGGATTTAATTTTTTTGACGCCGCTCTTTGACAGGGAACTGACGGAAATCGATGAAGCTGGGAAACGAGTTGGTTATTTAGAGGGTTTGGAAAAATATATCAAAATAGCTATGAGGTATAGGCAACACCTTAGAACATTTTAAGGGAAAGACAAGCGCCTCAAGTAACTTTTAAAGCTGGTTACATTGATTTGTTTAGCAATTTAGTTGATGTATACAGTAGTGGCGAAGTCTGAATAGATTGCATAAAAACCTCTTTTACTTATCTGTAAACCTTTGCAATGCTAATTTATGTTAGCTGCATAATAGACTAAAAAAGTACGACTTGAGTCACATTCATATCTATATTAAACTAGTTGATATAGGTTGAACATAAAGTTGAAGAAGACCTGTTATAGTCCTAAAGTATACCACTTATACCAGCTTAATATTAAGCTGAAACAGTTGTGTTACAGCTCATATTTTTACTATTGTTCAGTAGCCAATCGTATAGCCAATCGCATATAATCGTTAAGAGTTATTGCTCCGATGACAATAGAATGAAATTTGTATTAAAAATAGGCATTCTGTTTTAATCCTAGAAGACACAGTTTTAAAGATAATACCATATATTTTTTTATGTGTAAAGAGAATAAGTAGCACTAGCCCTAGGTTTTCATACTTTTTTGAAAAAATGGTCCGTTTTGTCTACAAAAAATTATAAAGTTTATTAATTTTGTTTAAAAAAGGACAACTTTTAATAGAGAATTAACATTATCAAACATGCATTATTTTTCGAACTTGTAGTAAATCTTTTTCTTAATAAGATCAAAATGTAATTTTTAAAATTGGACTTAATATAAAACCGTAATCATTAAAATAGCAAAGTAATTTCGGATATAAAAATGATTAAAAAATATGATTACGATATCCCCTCTCAAGACGTTCCGTGTTCGTACCGAAGGATGGGTGCTGTTGCCTTCCTCGTCTACCTAGTATTAGGTCTGTTCCTACAAAAAGTCACAGACTTGCTACCAGTAAGTTACTGTTGAACCCTGTAGTTCAGCATAGCCAAATCAGAATCAGAAGTTTGTTGGAACGCTTAAATTATGACTGCGCACGCTCGTGACGATAATTTGCAGTTTCTGGCTATTTCTGACTGCTTGTAGGAACAGACCTATTGTAATCTGGCCAGATACGGAATAAGGGCACATATAGGATCGAACTTAAATTTAGTGTTGCTCGGTTGGTGCGAAGAGGGAAATTTTATTACATGAGATAATTTTGTTTTCAATATAGAATTTGCAATGTTTCAATATATTTAAAACATAGATTGATTAGAAAAAATTAGGTAGAAAAATTATATTTGTATAGTAGGTATATATTATATTTTCTAAAATAATTCATTTTGCAAAGACTATCAACTAAGCTACTAATAAATTAAAATCTATAAATCAGCCTTATAAATAATGTATTTAACAAATGTTTCATACTATATTAATAATTTACATGTTTTCTGACTTATCTGTGAATGAAACGTGGAGAAAATAGTTTTACTTACAAGTTTTTCCTGATTTTGTTGCTGTGTGCTGTTGTAGTGATCTGATAATTTGTAGACTGTATAAGTGTTTACAAAAATATATTTCCTTGGATGCCCTCTTTTAAGCATAGAATTAATAAAGCAAGAAGATGACTTAATATTTTATTTTGTACAAATATATAAAATATATTAATTTACCCCATTTAACGTATAATAGTATTTTGCAATTTTTACAATACTTACGAATGCCTCTTATTCGTAATTTATGCTATTGGTTTAAGAGAATGAAATTCAGAATTATATCGGTCTATATATATATTGACTGAAACTTAAAAAGATATTTTTATAGAAATAATATTTTAAAAACTGATGGAACAGAACCGAAGTGTTTTTTTACTATTCGGCTTTGATTGGTCCGAATTTCATGATGGCTGCCGTTGAATTATGTTATCATATTTTGTTGTTGCTAACTTTAAGATATAAATACATATTTTCTCTTTTTGATGTCAACGATTTTGAAAAGTTTTTGCTTTAAAAATAAGTGAATATTATAGGACAAACAAACGCCAAAATTGGCGTAATATATTATGAACAGGGGCGGTTTCTCCATTGGTTCATTTGTGCAGTGAACACCCAGTTAAATTTCATAAAAACACAATATTTTATTATTACATAAATAACAAAAATATAAATTTAATTTTAATATTTTTATTTTCATACGTGTTAATCTATATTATTTTGTACATCATTGTCCTCTGGCTGATCGCGTCTTTGTGTCACAGTATACCTAAATATACTGTGTCTGTGGCGCATTATGATGAGTGAGCCTAACACGAGTGAGACGATATGCCGAATGCATATAGCTAAAAAGAGAAGACAACACGCCAACAGATCCTGCAAACTGTCAAAGAACACATTAATTGGCGCGCCGCTCACAAACAATTTTTAGCAAACATCAATCTTTAAAAGGAGCAGCCCTTTCATTATAAAAAAAAATCTGATTAAATATGGGGGATTTAAGGGGGGTTGAAATTAAAAAAAAAATCAACATGAAAGTTTTAGTAAAAATCAAGATCTATAAGAGATGAGGCCTATAAATTGTGAAAACAATCTGCTTAAAAATGGGGGTTAAGGGGGTCTGTTAAACTGCAAAGAGTATCATTTAAAATGCCGGGCATTATATATCTTTATTCTAGTTTGTGTCTGTGTAATAATTATGTATTGTGATGGGACTGACCTTATAACATAAACATTTAAAACATTTTAGTTCTTATTTTATTTGCCAATAAAAGGTATTTAAAAAATATATTTTTTATTTGACATCTGTGATAAATTGTGAAAATGATTAAACTTACAATAAAAACTAAAAAATGGTAGGTAAAGTTTCATATAAAATTTTTTACACAAAAATCAATGTCAAGCTTTCTACATAACCTGATATATATTTAAAAATAATCTTAAATTATGAAGAAAAGTCAGTTTACGAATTAATAATGTTTATAGATGGTTTTCAACGTATTAAAAACAAAACAAATATCACACTAACTAAAATATTCATTTATTAATAGTTGTAGTGCTTGAAAATAGTATGATGTAAATAATAGTAACTACACTTAATACAAACTCAAATAATAAAAAAAAAACAGCGATATTGGCTATTGTAGAAAGTTTTGATCTGAACTTACATATAATGACATTATTGGAAAAAGTGAACAACCATTTGAAATTACCACAAGCCGCCACTGATTATGAACCCTGTACATCAATTTTTTTTTTTCATTTTTAGATATGATGTAAATGTATCACAAATTATAAAATAATTTAATTTTGTTTTTATGAAGAGCAGGGCGTTTGACTAAACAGCTCGATATTATTTTTTACAAAGTAGGCATACGTTAATATCTTTCTCTCTTGCTTTTAAATATGTTTATTTTCAATAGTAGTATTTAGGTACATCTTCGTTTCTTGAATATCTCTGGGTTATTTATTCTTTCTTTTTCTTTGTTTACGTTATTTTTTTAATTTATAAAATAAGTTGGTATGGCAGATTTAAAAATAGCATGTATTAATATTAATTCTCTAGCAGCGAAAATTGTAGAACTGAGAGAGCATATAGAAATACAAAAATATGACATAATTTGTGTAACTGAGACCAAGCTCAATGAAAATATACTGGACAATGCCGTCTTAATAAACAATTTCAATTTATTCAGACGAGACAGGCTAAGTGATACAGTTGGGGGTGGAGTAGCTGTTTATATTAATTCCTCTTGGCAGGTATCGGAGATTGAAGAGTTTTTTGATGATAACATTTGTTATGAACAATTGTGGTTAAAATGTATTATCGATAAAAAGCCCTATGTCATTGGCGTCATTTATCGTCAACCTAAACAGCCGCTTTTAGAATTTATTAGAGATTATGAAAATGTTATGATGAATGTTTTAGCTTCACATGAAAATATAATATGTACAGGTGATTTTAACATTGATTTATTGAGCGACACGGCTGCTTCTCGACATTTAAATAATTTGTTAGAAAGCTTTGGACTAACTCAATATGTGACTCAACCGACACGCATTTCTAAAACGTCTGCAACGCTACTAGACTTGGTAATATGCACTGACAGCATAAACGTTTGTGATTGTGACGTACTGCACGATGAAATAAAAAGTGATCACAGTCTGGTTAAAACGAATATTCTTATTGATTCTAAAACCGAAATAGTTAACAAGATTAGGTACCGTAACTTTAAAAAAATTGATAAAATGTTATTCGAAACTGAGCTACGCAGGCTTCCGTTTGAAAATATCCTGCTCACTAATAATATTGACTCTAAAGTAAGTATACTCACAACACTTATTTTGCAAATATTTGACACTTTCGCCCCAATTCACTCGGTGGTTCTGAATAAGCAGTCCAAGCCGTGGATAACGGATAACATAAAATTACTCTTCAAGTTGCGCGATAATGCTCTGAGACGTTTTAAGCGGACTAAGAGAGAAGCACATTGGGACTATTACAAACTTTTACGAAACTTTACAAATAGAGCTGTTAACAATGAAAAAAAAGCGTATCTGCGATACAAACTCTCTAATAAAACTTCACCTAAATTGTTATATAAAGAATTAAAAAAATTAAATGTTTATTGTCGAAAAAGTAACAGTAATATTCCTGATGAGTTAAGCGATGTAGAAATGTTGAATGATTTTTTCATTAAATCGGCTAAATCTCAACATTCTCCGAATTTAAATATTTTAAACAAACTTATTAACTCTAAAAAAGAAGTTAGCCTTTTTTCTTTCAAGGAAGTAAATGATAATGTTGTATACAGTAGATTGTTAAGTATAAAGTCCAATGCAATTGGAGCTGATGAAGTTGGTCTAGATATGCTCCTGTATTGTTGTCCCTATATCATAAAATATCTTACTCACATTATCAATACGTCAATCAATAGTGCCACTTTTCCATCTCAATGGAAAGCTGTCCACGTACTACCTTTGAGTAAAGTTAAAAACCCTACTCAATATAAAGATATACG